AGTGAAAATCATTAAAAGACAATCGTTCGATGGGCTGAATTGCACAAAACGCATGATCGCACCGGCCAATCTGGTGCACGTTGTTATTAAAATTTATAGCAGTAGTATTATTTTATCCCGCACTTTTTGCTGCGCTGCAAATTAAATCTAGAGCAGTTTCTCTTCTTTTTCAGGTGCTAAAAAAAGGGATGAAAATTGCAAGCATTCAAGCATGTACACATGCAATCGTTATGAAGGAGATGTGTGCAACTTGTGGCAAGGATCTGAGGGAGTTGGTTTCAGTTTTGTATGTTTTTCCAAAAAGCTAGGCGCATTTCGACAAAGTCACATCTGCGTGAATGTTTTATCTCCTGTCCGAGTATTGGGGAATTTTCCGAGGCTTAGTTTCACGGTCACTTTTTAGTATAGTTTTAGCGGATTATTAGACGGAGATGCATTCACATTTATAAGAACTAACACCGGTGTTTGATTCATAATAAGGGAAAGGAAATGCGTAAGAATTCTCATCCCAACACGCTCATTATCTTCCACATTTCCGGGTAAAGTAAGCTCAAGACTGAAGGGAAGGAGGTTTAAGCATTAAAAATATTTCTTTGTAATAAAAACAATTTATTGAGAAACATTTCAAAAATATTTGTAGCGAACTGGCTATTTCGCTTACCCGACATGCTGCAAAGCAGAAACTTTGCAAAGATATTCTATATTCATGTATGTCTTAAATCAGCTTGGAGGTGATGTTCCCCCACAAGCAGGCAATAAAAAAAGTCAGTTTTATCGCCGATTTAAAAGCGAGTGCATTTTGCAGGTTTCATAATCCTCTTACTATTTCCTTCAAATTTTCAATGAATGATCATTCACCGAAAAACGACTGGTCTTCATGCAAAAAAACTGATAATCATAAATGCTGGTGGTCCATGTGGCCTCAAAATGCAACACTCCATCCCAGCCGACATCCTTTCCCTCTGCTTGAGCGGAGAGGTCAAAACACAGCCAGTGTGAGTCCAAGTGTTAAACTGCAGCGCAGGAACTATTCCTGCTATTAGCGATTTGCAAGTTTAGTGCGAAAACGCACGATTGCACCACCAAACCTGGTGCGTTGCAACCTGGATTCACTCTATCTGTCCATGAATAGCAAGCAAAATTAGGCTGCAAGATGTGGCCGGAGGGAATAGGATGAGAAAAGAAAAAATCACCAAGGAGGATGCTGGGAGAAATATTTTGCATATCACTGGCCAGTTCAGTGTATTCTAAGACACCATTGGCGTCGAAGGACTTTTCGCAAAAACGTGAGGCTACGTTGATCCCCTGGTTCGCGTCGCTGAATATCTGATCCTTTGTTGGTTGATTTTATTGATCTCCCTCAAATGAACGTTACTGGGGTTTTTTTTAGGAGGCCTGGTATACGAGGAAGTCTGAAAGAAGCCACTGTTGCCAATGTATCGATGGTACATCATGTCCCAGAGCTTATCATTTCTGATGAGGTTTGTCCCACTACAACTACACAAAAAGTTATTTTTCATCATTACCTCATACTTGAAAAAAAGCGGCATAGCCAGGGCCACAACTTCTGATTGCCAAAATTATGCCTTAACTCAGGGAATTTGGCCATTTATCGATTTTTCAGAAAGCCTTATTGAATAGGAAAGCAATCTGGAACTAGCAATGACCCTAGTTATGCATTACTAGTTCATAAAGCTGTGAAAAGAGTTCCTGAATACGTACTTGAATAGGATGAAATGCAGGAAATTCGACAGGTCAAGGACATTTTTAGGCGCTCTTATGAAGTTGAGAAGTAAAATTTTTAATCGCTCTTATGAAGGTAACGAAGCTCCTTTTTGCGATAAAGTTGTCCAGGAGGAAGATGGAGGAAGATTTTCACCGTTCGATTTATTAGGGTCATGATTGCTAAATTCGGATATTTGGAGTGATTGAATTTTTACCGGTTTTCAAGGAATGTTCCCAACACATCTACAACAGAATTCACATACATCCGGATATCTGTAGCTTAATTTTAAGCAATACGCGCCTTTTATGCTAAAATTCTGTAAGGGACCTGCTACGGCATCCATTGCAAGGGACCCTTTGCTGGCCAAGATTTTGAATATGACAGTAAATCTGTTAAAAAACAAGATTCCATTTGTTCTACGTACTACAGGTAGGGGCCTTTTGATGTTACTCGTATGTACCACGCGCAAACAGCAACCTCCCACCTGACATGATGGGGCTCTCGATGGCTTTCTCTTCGGAGGGGTACCAAGAAGTAAGTTGATAGCGGCTCCGATATGTGCCAGTACTAATTTACCATCGAAATGAATGAACGAATTATGGAGCAAGTTGCTGCACTGCTCACTGAACAGCTAGGTCATTTTCAAAGAACGGCCGTTAAACGGAAATTTTTCATTTCTTTTATGCAAAATTTACGATGATTTACACTGATGAGCGCAAAAGGTAGATGTAAAGCAACAACTATTCATGCAGTTAACGATCTGAATACTTCAAGTTTGGTGCAAAAACGCATGGTTGCTCTGGCCGGCCTGGTGCATTCCAGCCTGGATCATCATTCCTCATTATGAAAGAACGCCTTTTTGCATTTGCGAGCGGTAGCGTTAAATAGCCAGAGAAAATTTTGTTGCATTATGTGCGTTATGCAAAATATGCACAGTCTACGTAATATAGAACCAGAAAATTTCAGTTGGCATTAAAAATTGGCACCGAAGATCGTCAGAGGCTTCTCAAAGCTCACAAACTGGTGCTGCTTGTGGATTTGGATCAGACACTCGTTCATACAACAAATCAGAAATACGAAATGGAACCGGACACGGTGATTTTTGCAGAAACTTTAATCAGATGATACAGGAAAGAGAACAAAACGCTTTTCCTGAATCAACTGCCTGAAGAGCACACAGCCCCGTATTACTTACTAGTACTGGATGGAAATACCGAAGATGCTAAACTCTTGGGTGGAAGTGCTAAACTGTTTGGCCCGTGTCAGTTTATTTGCATATTTGGATGAGGGCGGTCGTTTGGTGCAAAACACGCACTCGTTTCTGATTTTTCGGTAAAGTTGAGTATTTCTTACGCCCACCTGCAGTGAAATCTAGCTGAAAGTGAAGTGAATGAGGAATCATTGCAGGATGTGCTGCACTATACATTGAAAGGCACAAGATTCTACACA